TTCCGCCAGCCAAATTGTCTACTGCTCGTCGCTCGACGGGTTTTGACGTCCGGGACCGACAAAAGATTATTTCATTCGTCCCTCAACTTCAATTTAATTCAATTTTGTCACTGAAATTTCATTTTATTTTGTCCTAACAAGTGCGCTGCCAACTTCATGGCTAAAATTTTAACACCTCACAATTATGTTGCAGTGTAAACAATCGAGATAGCAAATCTAGACTCGTTCCTAACATTCATATTATTCCCAATTTTTGTCCTTTTTTTTCAATTTTGACTTTCAATTTTAGAAGAATCTTTAAACATAATTTGTAGTACGTACATGCCTTCCAATAAATGAAGAAACATGTACATCAGTACATGCCTGAGCTAATTCAAATTACAGAGTACCAAACTTGTAGAAAGAAGCAAGCATCATCGTCTCACAAGTATTAACCACTATTTAGAGATTGGCCCAAAAAAAGGGTCAAGAACCGAACCAAAACTGAAACTAACAGTCCGAAAAATAAATTATCATTTTTTTTTCCTTTTTTTTCAAAGGTTGGTTTTTGGGTTCAACAATGCAAACCACATAGAAAATAACCAGAATTCTTCATGCCATCTTCATTGTTTTTGTTTTTCAAGTTGCAATAATTCTTTAATTATTATATATTGCTTATATTATCCTTCATTCTATATGTTTAGATGTATCCCAGCAATTCTGAATAAGATTAATCATCCAAAACAATGAGTTTCTCTGTGCTTCCATCAATCCCAACATTGGTCTTGAGATTAGGATCATCCTCCTCCTTCACCTCCATTTCTATATCTGCAATTCCACTTGATAAATCCACAGGAGGTTCAATCTCAGCAGTAGATGATAATGCATTACCAACATCACAAGCAGATTCTGTCAGATTAATTTGTGTTGGAAGATCCACATCCACAGCAGACAACTTCATGCCAGTATCTGCCTCAACTCCAAGCACGAAATCATCTGCTCGGGGAATATACGAGGAACTTGGTTTTTCAACGTTCACCTTCTCATCCTCTCTAGATGCTGGTGAAAGTAAATGGTTAATCTCTTGACTCAATGCTTCTAGCGAAGCAAGATTTCTCCTCAAATTCAAGCTTTCAGGCTTGTCAGCTGTAAGTGCTGCTACTGAATCCAAGGCATCTTCTGTAAATACCTTGCACATCTGCAAGCAAATTAAGCACAATAGTTATCTTACCACATCACTTGGAAGTATATGGGGATCTTGGATAAACCTACGAAAACATGCCAAATAATGATGCATACACTGTCAATAAGATTTGACTGTACGCATTTTACCTCATTGTAGAGACGAACCATACCCAAGCGATCTGATTTGTTGTCACAAGCAGCCTTCGACACTTCCTCTGGAACTGCATTAGAAAAATTAATTACACACCATAGTCTTCACTATTTAATTACATATCAGAATTTCGCAAAAATTCCTCAGGCATTGAGCACCATATAAATAAAAAGTCAATGCAAAAGAGTCTTCATGGTGAAATAAAACCATATACAACGTCAAAGATGATTCATTCCTCAAAATCCACCATGAACCCCATCTTCCTCAGTACACCATGCAGACATGAAATCAGGAACTCATTTCTCAGGTAAAATAGTCTAACTCGATCTGTGCTGAATTATTGATATTCTAGGGGCAAACTTAAAGAATAATTGGCTACACTTACAAATTATTTCAGCTCGAGGCAAATGGTCAATCATTTGGTCATCTGATTCCACAAAACTTGGATTTGCTACATGAGTAACATTGTGTCCAGTCTCATCATTTAGCATTCTGTCACCCTGAAAAATGCATTCATTTAGATAACAAATTAAGGTGATAATATGATTTATCACTTTTAAAAGATTAAAATAGTAATTAAATAGTTGCAGCTAAGCTTCCGACAAAGTTCTGCCTAACTAATCCCCATTTCATGCATCGACACGTATATAGAAAATGATCAAACAACTAAGTGAAAAATCTGTGTCCCACCCTATCTGCTAGAGGATATAGAGAGAGCTAGTCTCATGTGCTTCTATTTATTTGGTGACGAAGGAAACAATTCACATGAGTAAGTTTGAAACAACAGGCAAGCTTTCGTCCATATATGACTAGTGAAAGAACTTACAAAATATTCTTTCTGGTATTCGGCAGTAAGTAATTTCTCCAAAAGTTGCACCCTTTTCTTAATGAACTCAACCTGTCTTCTCTGCATCTCTCTGAAACTATATAGTACAGAATGTTCTTGGACAGGTTGTGTTTGGGCTGCCGAATTTGTTATTCCCAGTGCAACATCTGGCACCTGGTCGTTTTCACTATTTGTTCCTTTCACCTGATTTCCAGGTGTTCCAATTTCAGTTGTGCTCATACCATTCTGTGCTTGAGGAACTCCTGAAGCAGAAACCGATGTTTGAGGAGTTGCTGAAGAAGATTGCATTGGTGGAGCTCCTGAGGCAGAACTTTGGGCTTGAAGATCCCCAGGGGTAGGTAAGTTTATAAAGGGAAGGTTCAGTACTTGACAAATCACTTCTTGGATTCTCAATTCTTTGTCATCAACAATTGCTTGCCATCTTCCATAACCATGTCTTGATGTCCAACAAAATAAAAGTAAATTATAGTGATCCAAATAGAATCTGAGAAATTTATAGTGACTTGTTCAATCAAATTTCATTTCAACTACCTGCTTTGAAGGTCAACAAATAAATATTACCAGAAGGATGGTTGAAATAAATCTTGGCAGAAATCCTTATTGAAACCATTACTGGATTATTTGTGCATAACATATTGTTATGAAACTTTAAATCTTTTTATTATAAAAGTTTCTTGCCGGAACTGCTCTATAAAATGAGGTGAACCTTCAATTTAACAGGAAAAATATAAATAAATAAATAAAATAAAAATAAAAAATAAAAAACCATACTTCAACACCGCTCGCAGAAGAATCCTATCATGCTCCTCCTTCCAAAGTTTTCCAATTTTCAATCCAGGGAAACGAGATACAAGGTCATCCGCAAAAAGAGCAGAACCTCCCTCTTGCAGAGACTTCACCTGTCAACAAACAGGCTGGTCTTTCAAAATTGAATTGAACATCATAGAAATGAAATGTTTTAAGAATGAAATATTAACAGTTATGATACACATTATTCTCTTTTCTACAAAATATTATAATACAACAATAATCTGTCTGCCAAAATACCATAGAACTTTTCATAAACAGGAACAGGAAATATCCACTTCCAAAGATCCCCACTTTTTCATATAGCCCGAGTTTAGCATTAGATTAAAATCCCAACTCAAAGTCAACAATTAATTTTAACAACAATTCATGGGACCCACAACTTTTCAACCACACATTTCATCAACTTTTATCAAAATCCATTGAGAAACTGATTTTAGCCCCCTGTTTGATGGCCTTTAATTCGAAACTCTTTTTTTTTTTTACATACTTATTTTCAATCACACATTCACGTAATAAAATATTTTGCATGTAAACCCAAATTTTTTTCTGTTTTTTAACCACACATTCTCCAAAAATTTACCATTAAAAACATTGTTTTTTTCCAAATAATAGCCATCAAACCTTAATTTACACCAAACAGGGGCATTATAATCTTAATTATTCCAATGTTTAAAAGTTGATTCATGGCAGGAGTAATTGTTGTACAAAAGCATAGGACCATTCAAACTAGAAAATAGTATAGCAGGAAAATGTGTACCTGCACATTCAGACATGACACGTGATATGAAAAAATAAATTTCTTGATAGTTTTGGATCTTCAAAATGGATGTTCATGCAGAATGGAACTATTCCTTGATTGGTTATGTTACATTTACATAATGGCTTACATACACATGATGTGGTCAAATATAATTTGGTCGTTTGTCAAAAACCAAAAAAAAAAAAAAAAAAAAAAAAAAAAAAAAAGGTAATTTCTTTTCCTTTCCAAGAAGCCATTCCAATGCACGATCTTTTGAATCTTTTCCAATTGCAGAGAGAAGTGAAAAAACTCAGCTAGTCTCACATTTAAACATAAAGTCTAGCTACAGACGATGATGACGCTGAAAATTTTATTATTTGAAGAACAAACTAGGCTAGGCATGCCTCCAGCCTAGTCGCATACATTAGCAGGGCAAAAAAGATATATCAATTTCACCTTCATAGACAGCAAGAAAAATGAAATCAAGAGATTTAATCAGTGATCATGATTCCAGAATATCACAAAGCACCAAACTTCTGAAATTTCATTAGCAATAACAATAGATGAGTAACCATGATCTCAGAGTCATCACAAAGCACGAAGTCTTCAAAAGTCTATTTGCAACAATGAAAAATATAATTGTGATTTATCTAATATATAGAGCTTACTTTGTCCCTAATAAGCATTAGGACTGCTATCCTAACAAGTACATCCGGTATTCTTAGTCCCTCTTTTGGAACACCATCTGCCACCAAGAGAAACTATGCAATTATTAACCTCACTTTAACCAAGAAGAAGATACAGAAAAAAAAATCAGAAAACAGATTAACTAGCAAATTTGAGAATTAAAAGGAATAACCTGAGAACGTTGGTGAGTCAGTTATGTCTTCAGCTATGTGTGACAAGAAAAGCCTTCCATAACTGAAATAATAATTTTAGTTGTTCAGCATGAAGTACTGTTAACTGTTGAATGATAAGTATGTTCAGCTACACGAGAAATAAATGACAGGAAAATTCAAGACTTTTAATGAGAATAAATAGTGGATATTAAAAAGCTTGTCTCTTCAAGTCTACTTGGAATGGTCACTCATCCAAATGAACTCACGGATACATATGGAGGATATACATTATATTGAAGACTCAATTTCAAAGTCCAAGAAGACATGCATGGATTATTTAAGAACTTCCTTT